CCACGCAGGCCGTGCCCGAGCCGAACACCTCCCTCACACGGCCCTTCTGGAGGGCGCCGAGGAACTCCGGCATCGTCACGGCGCGCTCCGAGACCGCGAACTCCCCCTGGGCACACAGAGAGCGCCGTCAGGACACGCCGCGCACGCGCACACACGCGCACACACCCAGACACACACGCACGCAACGTACGCACGCGCACACACACCCAGACACACACGCACGCACCTGCACGCACACACACGCAACGTACGCACGCACGCACGCACGCACACACACCAACACACACGCACAGACCTCTGGCGCCCCCTGGAGGAACGCGGGGCCCGTGCACACATGTCCACTTCAGGATCCGACTCCTCCCGGACTCCGGACTCCGGACTGGACACTGGGGTGTGACCCCCAGAAAACGGCGCCCCCGTTCTTTCCCAAACCGCCCCCCCCTTCCCTCCCCGAAGCTGGGGAAAACGGGGTCGGGAGAGCGACCTCACTAGGAGGTCTGCAGCGCCGTGTGCCTCTGGCGCCCCCTGGGGAGACGAGGCTGCACGCACACGCCCGCCCCCCCGCTCAGAGAGTCACCGGGGGTGAAACTCTTCTGTTGGGGTGCAGGACGTGGTGTGCGGAAATCGGGGGGGTGGGGGGTGGTCGTTGTCTGTTGAAACGGGGGCTTGAACGTCAGCGATGTAGCCGCCCCAAAACCTCAGACTGTCCGCCTCGTCGGCACGGCGCCGCTGCGCACGCCCTGTCCAGGGGGGGGCGCTGCAGGCACCTCCTTCAACATGCCGTGCCCCGCCAGCGGGGTTCCCCCCTTCCTGACCCACGGGTATCCCTGGCTCCCCCCCCCCGATCCCGCTGCTCAACCCAGACCGGGTGGCGGTGTGTTGACGCACACACCCCCGGTCCTGAACGTGAAGAGCACCCGTCACGACAGTCACAGCCAGAGCGAGCGCAGGGGGGGGTCTGGAGCCCCGGACCCCGGAGAGAGGCTCGCTCTGTACTGCCCCTCCACTGCCCCCCGCCCCGTGAACACACCCTCACCACGCCAGGACACGACCACCCGCGCCCCCCTAACACACCTCCCGGCGGACCGCCAGGAGGCACGCAGTGCACGCTGGGAGACAACATGACCTCACAGGAAACTCACCCACTCTCTGGCCAGATCGAGGAGTGACTGTCGGGTCACCCCTGGGAGGATAACACCGTCCAGTGGAGGAGTCACTAACTCCCTGTCTACAGGGGCGGAGAGAGAGAGGGGTT